AATAAGCTTAAATGAAAAAGAAATTACTACCTACTATAAAAAGCTCAAGGATAGTTTGGATTTCAGATCCAGTTAGATCCAGGGGCTCAAGTAATGCATTAGGACTCCAACCTGTTCTTTCTGTCTCTTGATTCCATTTTCCTCTGTGTTGGGTCCATCCTCAGGCAGGTTCTTGCCTGATGGTGGCAAGGTGGGTACCAGTAGTTTTAAACATATTACCTCTTTTCTCAATAATCTCAATGAATAGAGAACTTCTTTCTCAAGGGTTCTAGCAAAAGTCCCGAGATTGACTCTGATTCATCCAACTTGATCACATGCTCAGCCCTGAACCAACCGCTGTGGCCAGGAAGATGGAATATATCAATTGCCAGATCTCAGTCAAGAGACCACCTTGGAGTCTCATACCAGGGTGTATGGAGGTCCCACTTGAACCACATGGGTAAAGGGTGGGTGGGCAAAAATAACCAATGTCCACCACAGTGGCCTTCAAGGTCATGGTTAACAGTTCAATAAATGCAGCATTAAGTGAAGGACAAAACAGTCCCACAGAAACAGGAGGAAGGAGCTGACAGGTAGCTGATTCATCTACTTCCCTCCTCAAACCCTACCAGGTGAATCAAACCACAAGAAAACTGGGGCCGAATCCTCCCATTTCCCAAGACAGCTCCAGGGATGTGGAAAGGAACATTCTCTTGCTTTCTTTGGGATTTTCCCCATTACAGTAAAAGTCACCAGACATGGGTTACTGATTGGGATTTTTGAAATTCCTCTGTACCTCCCATTTGTCAAAATCTCATCTGTTTTAATTTCCACAGATTCTTTTTATAAGTTATTTTCAAGAACAATATTTCCCCTTCCCAGTGCCAGTTCTCTGGTGGTGACCACTGTCCTCTGCCTTAGGGATGTTGCAGTTCAAATGCTCTCCTCCTGTCCTCCTGCCCTCTCGCTCTCATCTCCTCCCTCCTCCCCAGCAACCAACCTTCCCCTCCTCCTTGTCTAGTTTAATGATACCCACCCTTGAGATCAGGGCTTTGCAGACTTCAGTTACGGACAAACCAGGTTTGTGATTTTGCCAAGTCTCCAAAACACCTTTACAATGAATTACTTCATATTTTAATTGACGTTACTTTTTTTTTTCAACTTAAGTAAATTAATTTAGAAAGGAAGTTTATATCACTACCACATGTGGAAAGCCTTTATGTCTTGCCATAAATAAAAGATACATATAAAATTAGGTGCAATGAGAACAATGTTTTAAAACAGTAGCTCAATTCTATGGCCTGCCCAAGTCTAAGCCTGAATGTAGCCCACTGTCCCTTTGTACAAAAAGGGAGTTTGTTAGAGAGTTGTTAAAAGACACACCCAACTGAGTTGTCCTCCTTACCATAGTCAGAAGGACTGAAGAAGAGAGGAAAAGGGAGAACTTTCTCACGTGTGAGGCAGTGTGGTTGACCGTCACCACCTGGTACTACCTCAGATCATGGTGCCCAGGTGGCTTTAAGGACCAATTAAAAGGCTACTTCGTCTGACCATCCAACTGATCGTACTCTCTTCTCTTGACTCTGTGCAGCATCTTCCGGTCTTAACACCTTGTATCCTTGGTTCTCGGTCCCTGAACTTCCCTATCTCCACTAGAGTAGAAGACCCTGAAAGCAGGGGCCAGCTGCATCCTGGTACTCTACCAGCACCTATGGGTGCCAAGAGGTTCGTCCAGGGCTTGCTGATTTTAGTCCTAGAGAAGAAGTGGCAGTCAGTGCCAAGCTATGGAAGGTGGGAGATGCAGCGAGTAGTCTGAGCAGCAATGACACCTCCCCAGTCTGAACATACCAGGAAGCCAACTCCTACTCCTCTTTTTAGCTGATTAGTGTAATTTCTATTTCTCCAGACATGCCCCCACCCTGAAATTTTTTATTTTGTAGAAGATGGATATTTTAATTCCAAGGAAAGAGATAATAATTATTTTGGTCTGGATATTTATGTTCCCCAAATTCATCTGTTGAAATCCTAACCTCCCCACGGTATGACATTAGGAGGTGAGGCCTCTGGAAGGTGATTAGGTCATGAGGATGGAGCCCTCAGGAATGAGATTAGCCTTTCTAAAAGAGGCCCCAGGGAGATCCCTTGCCCCCTTCTCCATGTGAGGACGCAGCAAGAGGTGCCATCTACAAATCAAAAAGTGAGCCCTCACTACACGCCGAATCTGTCCACACCTTGATCTCGGACTTCCAAGACTCCAGAACAGTGAGAAATAAATTTCTGTTGTTTATTAGCCTCCCAGTTTATGGCATTTTGTTGTAGCATCCCGAATGGACAAAGATAATAGTGAAGTGATCCCACTTCTAGCCCAGCAGGAACAGAAGATATTTCTAGTCTTGGGTTTTTCTCAATTTCAAAGCATGGAGTACAAAACAATAAAGCCAAAGGCTCCCTACAAAGCATCTATCCTGCTTCATGGCAAATGACCCTAAAAGATGGTTTCCTGCACTCGCCACTCAGTTCTGCGCCTTGGCTTGAACTCAAGGGCCGGGCAGGATGGAAGGCGGCTGGCGGATGGACAAACTTAGGCATCAGATGCAATTAACCAGAGTCCCCAACGAGCAAGCCAGGGGGAAGTTGTAGCACCTTCTATGACATGCCTCAGAAGCTGCTCCCATCACTTCTGCTGCATTCTTGTTTTTAACCCCATCTTTTATGAGAGGAGGGTCAAAGGATTTGCAGACATTTTTTTTTTTTTTTTTTGTCTTTTTCGTGACCGGCAAGGGGATCGCAACCATTGGCTTGGTGTTGCCCGCACCGCGCTCAGCCAGTGAGTGCACCGGTCATCCCCATATAGGATCCGAACCTGCGGTGGGAGCGTCGCAGCGCTCCCAGCGCCGCACTCTCCCGAGTGTGCCACGGGGCCGGCCCTGCAGACATGTTTTAAACTGACCACAAGTGCCCTGAGAAATGAGGAGTGACTTCAGGGTCTGGGACGCGTTTACCTGAGATGGAGATGGGGACAACCTCCCACACCCAGGACTTGGAAGGCTATGAAGGAAATCGGGGCCTGCTGGGAGGCCATTTCCCATTGGTGGACAGTTGTTGAATGAATGAACTTGGCCTTTAGGGAGAGGAACCTGACTCTCATTGAAGCCACCCACCTGTGCAGAGGCTGTGAGGAGGTCCTAGGCACCCCAGAACCGCTAACCCAGGATCTTTGTTGACTTTGCTCCTGGGCCACTGCCTCACCCACCCCTCTAAACTCCTGGGAGAGGTAGGAGACGGGTGCCGGTGCCCATGAGTCAGGAGTGTAAAGTACACCCAGGGCCTCGGCAAGCAGGCTCTTGTGCAAGAGCAGGGTGTCATTAGGTGAGCACAGAGAAATATTTCTTTCCTTAGACCCTGAGATAAAAGATAACAGCCCTCATGCCCATCCCCTGTTGCTCTTGGGGTAGGGGCTGCTACTTTGGGCCACAGGTCCCAGGGCAGCGCACCGGCGGGGTCGGGCGCGTGTGACTGTGCTTGTGCACGCGTGCGCGGGTCCCTCGGGCCGCTGTCCCGGCCCTCACCCCACCCGGGCCCCGCCACCGCCGCCGCCCCTCCGCTCTAAACCAAAAAAACAACAAAGAACTTTCCCCTCTTTTCTTTTCCCTTTCCTTTCTCCTTTTTCCCCTTTGGCTAATGTATCCAACAGATCCATAGCTCCCCCAACTCATCCAATC